GGGAGAGAAGCCTGGACAGGCTGCATCTCTGGTATTATGGAGGGGACTGAGGGCGAGTTCTGGGTTTGTAGTACCTCTGTGGTTAGGAATGAGTCTCTTCTCTTGCAGATAGACAGCATTATTCTTTCCTTAACTACTTTGGGAAGCTTAATGCTTTTGCACGGAGCTCAAACAGTCAGGGAGAAGCAATGTTAGAAGGCAGGCTATTTTATTTTCAGTTGCTTTAGTGATGTTCTTGGAGGTGGGTGTCTCCCTGCTGTGCCTATGACAGCTGGGGCTGTTCTTTTTAGCTGCTTTGAATAATACCCTGTACACAGAAATAGTTCGCTGTGGGGGAGGGAATTTGGCATAGAGACCCGCACTGTAGGTCTAAGAGGAGTTTGGAAGAACTCCTTGAAGTATCATTTCTTTGAGAGATCGTGCAGATTGCTCATCAAGTTTCAGCATGTGTTTCTTGTTTATTCCTCTGTTTACTTCCTGATTCCTTTCTTGGCTCACATTGGACTCAGAGGAGGCAGCAAGCTGGGCTGTGGTGGTTGGGAAGAAGAATATATTCACAGCACTGACAGTCTCATCCCTGTTTCACAGGTAAATTGTGCTTACAGCATGAGGATCTGGCAAAGAAATGCATTGCAGCTCTCGCCCGAGAACTGGAGGTGTCACCTGATGTGGCCGTTCGCAATAACGTTGTCATCGTTATGTGTGACCTGTGTATCCGCTACACATCCATGGTGGACAGATACATTCCCAACATTTCCTTGTGTCTGAAGGACCCGGATCCCTTCATCCGTAAGCAGACGCTGATCCTGCTTACCAACCTCCTGCAGGTAAACAGAGGGCGGAGCTGGCAGCCCGCTTCAAGCACCTCTGTTGTGCTAGATACTGGCAACCTTGGCTGCTGGATACTGGAACACTTAGTCAAGACAACTTGAAACTATGCATTTTGTTACTGCTTGGTTTTGCTAGCTAGGCCGAAATCGTATCGAGGGCACCAAGATGCTGCTTTGGCACTCGTGCTGTTTAAAGAACCCTCCAAAGCCTTGTCTCCTTGAGGTTTATTTTGTGTATCTCCAGCTGAAGGTTGCACGTTCACCTGACGTCCATTCTGCTAGGCTCCGTCAGGTCTCGTCCTGACTGCAGCCTGAAGGTTCACGCTAGGTTTGTCCTGGTTCGGGTTGAGAATCTGTTGTCTGCCGGTTTCTTACAGGAGGAGTTTGTGAAATGGAAAGACAGTCTCTTCTTCCGGTTCGTCAGCGTCCTGGTGGATCCAAATCCAGATATTGCCAGGTAAAACTCAGCTGTGAAATGGTGAAGGTGTTGGAGATCAGAGGTGCACGCAAAAGCAGTCTCAGTCTACAGCACGCAGAGAAAGAGGGGGAAAAATATAGAAAAAAAGCCTTTGTGAAGGTTTTCTAATAGGCTCTGTCTCGAGTTTTGGTTTTGTTTTAGGAATAGGATTAAATAATCTGGTTTTTTTTCCTTGTGTGGCTTTTCTTGTATCCCTTTTCTTGTCTCTTTAAACCTTCTACCACATTTTGTAATGTTTTGACATGTAAGGACTTATGCACGCTGGCTTGGAGCGCGTGTTTATGAAGTCTTTGTCGGCTTCAAGGTCTCAGGCTGCTCTGTTCCGTGAGAGAGGCGGGTTTCCCCAAGGATGGTAGGTCATACAGGGATGCAGGGCGCAGAGGAGGCGTGGGCAGCTTGCTGCTTGTTTCTACCTGCAACAGTCCATCTGTTTCCAAGGCCATCAAACCATCATCGCTTACTAGTGCGCTTTCTTTTCTCCTCAGTGAGTTTTTAATATGTAAAAATGTCTTTCCAGTAGATGGTGACATTGCAACATCATGTTCCTAGAGCTTTAGCCTGAGGAACACGGTGCTATTTCTTTGGGAACCTTTTTCATTGCATCTGCATTTGGTGGCTGCATCCAGACAAAACCACGTTCTTCAGGTCTGGGACCGACTTGCACCTCTTGCAGGGCTTTTGGTGATTCGCTTTTGGGAAGTGTCTCAGACACAGTGGAACTCAAGTTATTTAAATAATGAAAGCGGTGTGCCTGAGTTCAAGACCAGATTTATTTCTGTCTCTGTTTAATGGCAGATAAAACAAAGTAGTACTGTGGATGCTGAAAGCATCTCTCTCTGTCTGGATGAGAGAGGCTTAGAGTCAATAAGCCGATATCCTTGTGCAAGCCCAGATGGAGCTGGGCAAGAACTAAATGTGGTATTGAGGGAGACTTGGCAGAGGAAAACCACCCTCCCACCTTACGGCTTGTGACCCTACGCTGTGTTTTGGGGGTGGCTTTTAGAAGCTTCCACATAATAAATTCTTCCTTTCCCCCCCTTTCCAGGTTTGGAGAGTTCTGCTTGGTGCATCTCTTGCTGAAGAGGAATCCAGTAATGTTCTCCCAACACTTCATCGAGTGCATCTTCCATTTCAATAGCTATGAGAAACACACGAAGTACAACAGGTTCCCTCAGAGCGCAAGGTCAGTTGAGCACATTTGTGTCTCCTCGCTGCCAGAGGATGGGCTGCCTGGCCATGCAGCTTTTGGGTGCAGCAAAGCGCTCAAGGTGCTTAGAATTACATAGTCAATAGGGGGTGAACCGTAAATTAAGTGTCCTGCCTTCCCTGTGACACTTCTGGGAGGACTTCTGCTTGTAATCCGTGGGAGTGTGTGGTATCCTAACACGTTTATGGGTCTTGAAAGGGACATTCGAATATTCCTTGCTGATTTAAAATTCTGTGAATTTACCTAATGTGACTTGGCCCTTGTGAAATGTGTTGCTTTACCACAGGGCGAAGAATCTCTTCTCTCTCAAGGGAAAAGATAACAAAGAGAAAAGGATGCATATCTACAGGTTCCTGCTAGACCACTTCACGGATGAGCAGAGGTTCAACATTACCACAAAGATCAGCCACAACATTCTAGGTAAGGGTCTGTCTTTAAAAATCTGGTGAGCAAAGAACTGGTGTCTATGTAAAACCGTTAGGCTCTCAATCCAGCTGTGTTCCTGTTTTTCTTGGCACTGCTGTTTCTAGGAAAATTCTTACTTCTTCCCTGTGTGTTCCAGCATGCTTTGTGGATATGGTCCTTCCATTGGACTTGGAAGCCAGCGAGCTGCTCTCGGACACGTTTGCAGTCCTTAGCTGCAAAGAAATCAAGCTGTCAACTATGAGAGCAAAACCCGAAGAAGACATTCAGCCCGATGACGATGAAATGGCAATGGCCAACGTGGTCATGCAGGCGGCACAGAAAAAGCTCATCTCGCAGGTGAACGGCGTGTGATCTGGTGTGGGAAGAGGGCTGGCCACCGTACTGGCCGGAATTTTGCCTTTCTGTGATGGAGGAACTTGGGGCTGAAATTTTCCAAGTGACAGCGATGCTGATGACTCCGGTGCCCGTAGGCCGTTTTTCGGGCTCTGTCCACACTGCTCCGAGGGCAGTGTGTCGTAAATGAGAACATTACAGCTAGATTTGTGGCGGATACTCGTACGTGAGGGGTTCGTTGGAGTGATCAGAAATGCATTTCCTCTGAAGTGACGCTACGCTAGGCTAAATTTCTTCTACGGATCTCTTCCTGGTAAAGCATTTGAGCGTAATGATGTTTTTTGGGGCACCTCCTGGCAATTTGCCTTTGGTGTGAGGACTGACTAGCTTAGTGTGTATCTTAAAAGTCCCCACTTAGGTTAAAAACCTGCGTGTGCAGCGTAAGAGCAGGCTGGACGGCAGTGCTTCCCTTGCTGCGGCGCAGTAACTCCTCTCACTTAGGCTCTTCATCTAACCACAGAGTGGCTTCTCCTTTATTTCATCGCGTAACTGTGCGTGCCTTGTTCAAACAAAGGTTCAAAAGAAGAACTTTGTCGAAAATATCATCCCGATAATCACGTCGCTGAAGTCTTTGATGGAGCAGAAGAGGATACCAGCTCTTCGGGAACTTATGAACTACCTACGGGTAAGGGGAAGCGTTTCCTTGTTGTTGGTTTGGGGTTTTTTCCCCTCTCTTGAGTTAATGTGTTGGATGTGCTACCAGTAATAGAACGAACAGCCTTCTTAGAAGGGAATTTAGGAGGCATATGATGTTGTGACACTGCCACTGTGTTAAATAATGTGGGAGGTGGAGGGATTTTCGATAAGGATCTTGCAATGTGTTATGTGTGGGCCTCCTCAGTGGGACGTGGGCAGAAAGCTTGAAGGCTGGAAAGCTTTTTAATGTTCTGAAGTACAAATTGGTATCAGAACTCTTAGTCTGTTAAAAACACCTCTGCTCTACCAACTGGTATTTCCTTTTGCACTTAAGCAGCTGTGATCTGAATGGAGACGTGAATCAGTAGTCAGGAGAGATTTCTGAAAGGGTTTAACCATTCCTCATTGCTCCAGGAAATGATGCAAGATTACCGAAATGAAATCAAAGACTTCTTCGCTGTGGACAAGCAGCTGGCAGCCGAGCTGGAGTACGACATGAAGAAAAGAAGGAGTCTGATGAAGAGCAGCTCTCGGCAGCGCAGGCGGAAGCGGTTGGTGCCGTTAACTCCGTACACGTACTGTCTCCTCTGCTAAAGCCTGCGTACGCGTAACACCCAGACACCGCGTGCCTGTGGGCCTTGCTAGAGCACTTCTAACAGGATGGTTATGTGATGTTCTCGTACCTCTTTGCATTTCCTGACAGAAGCTTTTCGTTTTGGAGACATTTAAGATGCTTAGAACGGCAACAAACAACACACGTTAGACAAAGAGGAGCAGCAAACAATTAAAGTAAAAAAGAATTCACTTTAAAGGGAAAGCTAAGTCTAATTTGCCCCTGGCTGTGCCGACACGTACTGCTCTCTGTTCTGATGATAAAGCAGTCAAAAAGAAAAGGGTTTGTTTTGCCTGACTTTAGGTGTGTACAGAGTGGAAACTCACACCTGTCCTAGTCAAACAGATCCTCTTTTAAAGTCACTGTCAAGAAATAACTATGTACTTGGGCCAACTGTCCTGAATTATTTTAGATTCCTACCTTGAGATGATGTCTACCCTGGAAGTACCTTTCTCTCTCTGCTGACTTTAAGAGAACACCTATATATAGGCCTCTAAACTGGGACATATGTATCCCTTCAAAACTTCCTATTCACTTCTGGTTAAAATTTTGGCCAATAAGTTCTTTCTCCATAGCCCCCCTTCCATCCATCCGTCTGTCACACGAAGGGCAGTTCTTAATCGTGCAGCACGTAGGTCTAAGCCTCTTGTATCTGGGGTCTTCTACGCTTGTATCTGTTGTTAGACATCATCTTTTCTCCTGTTTCTGTAGCAACCTCCACCTTTGGAGACGGATGTACCTTCTGGGGGCTGCAATAATAACGCTCAGCCTCCTGTAAGTAGGAGACAATCCTTGTCAGCTGGATCAAGTTCTTCTTCTGTGCCTTCTGAGATTACAACCCCCAGTGCTGATGCCCTGAAACAGCCGATACTCAGTCGCAGGTTTGGGGTTTCTCTTTATGTGACCGGTTATGATATTCTGCAGGGCTATTGCTTTGCTTATCCACTCCTCAGTTGTCTGGAAGTTGCCTGTGTTGCAGCATAATCATCTCCATTACCTTTGGTGTTTGAGATCATAAGGGATTGGGAGGGGGGCCTGAGGCACCTTCCATGTGAGGAAAGGCTGAGAGAGCTGGGTCTGTTTAGCTTGGAGAAAAGGAGGCTGAGGGGGGATCTTATCCATATCTCAAGGGTGGGTGTCAGGAGGATGGGGCCAGGTTCTTCTCAATGGTGTCCAGTGACAGGACGAGGGGCAGTGGCCATCAACTGTGAAACAGAAGGTTCAGCCTGACCATGAGGAAACCCTTCTTCCCTGTGAGGGTGACAGAGCCCGGAACAGGCTACCCAGAGAGGGGGTGGAGTCTCTTTTTTTCCAAAGCCCCTGGACTTGTTCCTGTGTGATCTACTCCAGGGGACCCTGCTCTGGCAGGGGGGTTGGACTAGAGGATCTCTAGGGGTCCCTTCCAACCCCTTCCACTCTGTGAATGTGTGAATTATATGTATCTCATCCAGGATTGCAGAAGGAAATCACTGTTTCTGCCATGGTTTTTACCCCATAGGCCAGCATCCTTGAGCACACTTGCCATCCTGAACTCTGCCAGGAAAGCTCTGGAAGCCAGAAGCAAGCAACGCAGCAAGAGTGTTGGAAGAAGTTTATCAGCTGTTTCGCTTCCATCAAGCACAGCTGGTACCAAGAAAGGTAGGAATCTTGCTGCAGACTGACTGGCATTGGGCTAGATCTAGTTGTCACAGCCTGATTGTTAGCCCTGGAGGTCTCCGAGTGAATACATTTCGATTCTTAAGTATTTCCTTGTTTTTTTCTAGTATCCATTCAAAGCCTGAATCAAGAGCCTACTGGAGAAAATGTTTCTGTGGTGGGCCGTGCAATCAGCACACCGGAACGTAAGTATAACCCAAAGAAACCCTTCCCAAATTGGGCTGAGCACTTTATTCTCTGGGAGAGGCAGCAATGCATGGCTCTCCTAACGAGCAGAGACAATTCGTCATCGATAGCTATAGAGTATGTATTTAGATAAAGGCTTGTAGTAATTAAGAACTGTTCTGAAGTTGAAGGTCTGGGGTGAGTGATGCACATAAGAAAGGACAGCCAAAGACTGTCTCCATTTCCGTGTCACAGGATATTACAGTATGGAGTCCCTGTGGGAGAGCTTTGATTTTTGGGCTGCTGAAGTAGGAGAGCTACTGCCCTTCCTTCCGTCAACTCCAGGGTGCCAAGGAGGCATGTTGTTGTGACTCCTTAACAGCACACGTTGCCCAAAGTGGGCCACACTCTTGCATTGAGGCATTTGCTCTCCCAGCATAGCTTAGCGTTTTCAGACTGAATTACAGAACCCTGCTGCGGGGGGTAATACTCCAGGTCTGGTCCTTTTCAGCCCTAAGATAGGGAGTTCCTGTTGCCCAAACAAAGGGGTCTCGGGTGAGCTACAACCTGCTTCCACAGCAGACTGTGAGTTGCAGCAACTGCAAGAGAACACAGAGTGAGATTAATAACCTGCACAGTCATTTCTGAGTGTGTGTGTTTGTCCTACCCTAAGAGAGAACTGAACATTGGAGAAGGAATTACTTGGGGTTTTTACAGATTAAAGTAAAAATACACAGCGAGGAATCTCTAATACACCAACTGTGAGTTTGCTGTGCCAATGTCTGCTGAATTGCTATCTTACAAAACCTGGCTTTTGGAAATTAGGTTTATTGGAATGCATTCCGACAGCCCGGCAGCATTGCAGCATCGCTCTCTGCAAGCGCAGGAGGCCGTTGTAGTAAAACACAAATGGAGCTGAGATCCAGCAGCAGATTCCCTTCCTTTATATCAATTCGCTGCTGAACTCCTTTAGGGCATCTCTGCTGTAGCGTGAATTCGGAGGGGGCTGAGCACCCTCGCGCGCTCCGGAGAGCTCTGGGAATAAGGGTGAGTGTCTGGCAGGTCGTGTCTCGTTAGGTAGCTGTGAATCGTTGCAGGGAGGGGTCCTGCACTCTGCCAGTGTCTGTGCCGACACCCGACCTGCACGCACGCAGGAGAGCACGCGACGCGCAGCCAGGGCAGCCAGCTCCGCGGTACTCTGCAAACACCTGACACGATGCGCAGCCACTGGAAAATCTGACCCTTCTCCTCCCTGTGTGCTCCGCTGTTTGGCTGGATTTGTCTGCCTCAATGTTTCTCTTTGCTGCCTGAGCAACAAGCAACCATCTTTGTGCAAAAAAAACCTGGGGGCATGTTTGTAGAGAGCAGAAATCTTGAAGCGCCGTGTCTCTGTCTAGGAGCTTGCACGGCTGTTTCTCTTAAGCACCATATGGTGAAAAAGGAGGAAGAACGTTAATCTGCAGCGGTGCTCGGGCTGAATTCCTGCTTTGCTTGGAGGCAGCATGTGTCCTTCAGCGGGGAGACAAGCTGTACAGATCGGCATCATCCCCTCCGTTAGCGTGTGTTGAGCCATCTGCATGGTGGCACTGGGTCTTGCAGGCTGATAGACAGTCAAAATAAAACATTTTTTTATTTCTCTGGTATATCGTTCTAAAACTCTTGGAGATGCAGTTCTCTGTAAATGAGTTTGTACTTGAGAAGTTAAGAACAGCTGTCTCTTTATCTTACTCAACTGTTCTGGCTGTCGCTCGCTCTCTCTGATGTCTTTGGTTCTCCGCAACTCCTGCTCGTTGCTTTGGGGATGGCTGCCTGTGGATTGCTTCGGCCTGGTACATGAACGCATGGTGTGAAGATACCACCTCTGATGGCACGGGAAGCCCTGCTTGATGACAGTTCCCTACCATTTCCTTCCTCCCTTCTTTCCCCATAACTCATTAACCGGGATAGCTTACGGTACGCACCGCACAAAGTCGGGACGCTGGCAGGTCGGTCTGGAGAGATTCAGAGGCCAGCTGAAGCAGGCAGACCAAAGTGGCTTTCTGCTACAAGCCACAGCGATTCCCTTCCAGGACAGGGAAGCGGTTACAGAGCAAGCCCAGCTAGTCTGTAGAGAGAAGTCCTTTTAGCAGTTTCCAACTCTTGCCCTATAAAGCACTTTCTACCTTGATTCCTTGTGAAAGGTTCTGAGAAACACGAGCACAAAACAGAGCGTTGAGGAAGGTAAAATCTGAATATTGTGACATCTCTCTTGAGATAAATGACAGGAAAGAGACAGCTGACAACTACGGCCTATTCAGGCAAGCTAAATTCTGCCTAGCTTCCTTGTCAAGTGATTCCTCTTTTCTGGCTGCAAGCAGTTCCTTACAGAAGGGCTGTTCAGGTCCTTCACTCGTCAGGGGCCCCATATTCTGCCTTGACTGGGCAAAGCAACTGGTCTGAATGGCTGACCGGGGTCCCGTATTTACATTAACCTCCTCCGCGCACAAGGAAGGCTGAAGGGCTGGCGTTAGGAACCTGATGTAGACACATGGCCCCTCAGATTCAACACGTAGTTTTGAGGCTGGATGGGAGACACTGAGATCTGCTGGGCTGGAAAAGAGAAATATATACGTGTGCTTGAAATTAGCTGGCTATACTTACTCTGTGGCACTTCAGTGTGCTGCTACGGCATGCCTTGCCCTCTGGCTGCATCTCAAGCTGCCTGCTAATATGTGGTTTTTTCTTTCAGAGACCATTAATGACTTGACTTTTGATGCTGGGGTCAGTTGCATCAGCTTGACGCGCACACCCGGTTCAGCTCCAGGCAAGTTACCTTTGTGATTCTAACTTGGGGAGGGGGTGTTTAAAAACCCCAAATGACCAAATCTGTGGCATTTTTTTTTAAATATGAAAATATATGTGTTATTTGCAGAGATTAAAGAGGAGGCTGGGGATGAGCTCAGAGATGTTATCTGTCTGGCATCGCCAGAGAAACCGTAAGTCGAACGCAGGTCTGAAACAGCAATCACTGTGAGACAGACTGGTAAAGGGCTTTAAAGTAAATGCCCATTCTGCTTCCTTCTTCCAGCCCGTCCCTGCCACAGGAGTGGAAATTAAAATCCCCAGCAAGGACAAAAAGCAGCCAACGTGTCCCCGTGAGACAATCCCAGCGGCGAACTCCACTGAAACCAGACAAGTGATCCCTTCCCCGAACTTTGTACAGAATCATCATGTTGCCCGAAACCTGTCCTGTTCCCCTGTAATTATAAACCCTCCTGGGCACACGTCCTTCCTTATTTGTTCTTATTTGCTTTCTACGTGAAACCGTCTGGAACGCGGGCACACAAAGCCCACGTTAACGCCCGTGTGTACGCTAGGCTGCTGCTGTCGACTGAGCTCACGGGAGTGCTACAAGGCTGCAGTAGAAAGGGAGGCTTGCTCTTCGCTCACAGGATATATAATTTGTCCATTTGGAAAAGTCAGAGCGGAATGTTGCCACAAGCTTAGCAACGAGTGCATTTATCACAGCTTGCGGGGAAGTGAGTGGCTCAGCTTATTCACTCCATCCCTCATTGTCCCTCCTGGTTATATACTGGCCTTGCTTTAATTTCAACAAAGGTAAAACAGCTTGTCACTGCCACACCCCTAAATCTGGTAATTGCATGCTACATCACCTCCTATTTGTTGTGCAAACTCCTGTGTGTACGGACAGCCTTAATGTTCTTTTATATGGAATATTTCCATTCCTGAACTCTGTTATTTCCACCTATTAAGATTTTATGAAAATAAATGGTTACAGAATTAATTCCACCCACGGCTTCTCCCCTCTTCTTGAATTGACGGAGAAATTATTTTTTTCTGTAGATTTCTAAAGCCTCAGAGTCTCTTCTACAGCGTCGCTGGTATCTTAGGCACTCTGTTCGATTCATGGTGGGCCCAGCAGCCTTTAAATATAGACTCTTATTTGACTGCAAGCAGGATGTGACTAATTCACTATAATCAAGGTTGGTAAGTTGTGTGTGTGGCTTTGTGCTCTGCACAGGTAACTTGTTTGTGGTAAATGCTGGAATCTGACCCTTCCCGAGTCTCTCTGGTGCCGCGTTAACCCAACTGAAGTTTTTCTGTTGACGTCTGTTACAGAGCCCTTGCCCCAGATTTCACTGAAACCTGCAACATGGACTTGGTTTCATTCTCGTTGGGTTGCCTTACGCAGGCATGAAGGACAGGAGCGGAGTAGGCTAAGTGGAAACAAGGCGGCTGAGCATGCCTTTCCCACAGCCCTTCCAGAAGCGCTGACCTGCCCTGGAATCCCATAATTCACCCTCACTTTCCCTATTCTGTTTTGAAGATCAGAGAAACCTTCAAGCCAAGTTAAACTTTACTCTCAAATTCAAAGTCAAAACCTGGGAGCAGGGGACATGTGGAATGACTTTGGCTTAAGAAATGGTCAATTATGGCCACGTAGATTTATTTTGTTCCTTCTCCCCTGCCTTAAAATATTATTTAACCACTGAATGGTAAATCGGAATAGTTTATTTCCTTATTTGTGCTTTTCTAGTTTTTCATAGAACGGTTAGGGTTGGAAGGGACCTTAAGGATCATTCAGTTCCAACCCCCTGCCATGGGCAGGGACACCTTCCACTAGACCAGGTTGCTCAAAGCCCCATCCAGCCTGGCTGTTTTGCTCAGTACTGCCATGAGCCCTGTGAGCATCGATTTTTCTGCACTATAGAAGAACCAGGGATAGAGCAATGTCCAAGAATGAACTGTTCAACAGCAACATGCCTTGGACTTTCTGGACCAGTACAAGTAAATGATTGCTCTGACAGCGCAGACTTATGGCACGGAGTTGAAAGCAGAAGTCCCCAGTAACGTGGCTGTTTAAAGAACAAAAGCAAACAACAACGCCGACAGGAATGCTTTATAGCTCGGTATTTATGTAAAACATTCTTGGCAAAGTTAAACAGAATACATTAGTACAAACCTGAATATTATTCACAATAATAACACTGAAATCCATCAGTCAAATCTCGTGAGGGGGATCATCTCCTCTTCTCTCGTCAGAGATGCCACTGTCACGTTTTAGAACCGAAAAGCGAGTCTCGATTCTTATGGCTTTTCGCACAAAAGGCTGCCTTTGGCTCACGGGGAGACTGTAGGTTGTGCTCCCAGAGCTGCCCTGATTCAACCTTTCCTTTCTCTCCCTTATGACAGGTATCCTAAAAGCAGCATAGAGAAGGAGTAGTGGATAGAAGGAAGGCGCAAAGGAATGTGACTACTGTCGTGAGGATCAGAGCAGCGCGCAGCCCGTGAGCCGCGCTGTGGCTTGGCTGAAGACTGTAACTGTGACGCAGCGGTAACGTCCGCCTTACGCCGAGAACGTACGGTTAGTGCTGCCCCATCCTTGGGTTTTCCTTCCGTTAGCCAAAGGAGAAGCGGTAACGCCTTGCTTAGGCAAAACAAACGCGGCAGTGGCATGTCCAGCGAGGCCCCTAGGAGACAAAGATTAATGCGAAACGCTAAAAAAACAACACCGACAGTCCAAATCGTCAAGTATCCAAAATACTGTATACAGGAAAAAGTTAAGACAACTCAATTCATATTGGAAATACAAGAACACTACATTATGCTACATTAAAAAAAAACCCAATTCTTAAACCACAGCACAGTTCTAGTGTTGCATCCACATCTTGCAGTCTTACAATACCCAACGCTGCTCAACACAACATACGTGTGTCCGGGAAACGCGTGTTTCCAATTATTCTCTCTAGAGCCAAGAAAACTAGATTTGGGGGTTCTTTTTTCTTTTCCCACCTAGAGAAAAGTTGCAACTGACGCTACAAAAGTGCTTTTGTATTGAGCTCTCGCTTCCCCAGCTCCCGAAACAGTTGCCTTGGCCGTGCGGTTTACGCCTGTAAAGCTGCCGTAGCTGTCGCGCCGCGTTAGTGCTTTAGGGAACCTGCAGAGGGGTAGCCAACCTCGAAGTCACTCCGTCACCTCGTTGGAACTCGGTCCAAAAAGCCATCCCTGGATATTTCTTGCAACAACAAAAACAAAGTGTTGGTCGCTGGCAAGAACAGTTGAGTTCTACGTATAAAAAAAGTTGATAGCTCCTGCCATAAATGTACAAAAACTATCCCTGAGTGACTCGGTTCTGCGTCTGGTAAGACCTCTTGTGACAAGGAAATTGCTGAAGCTAGCTGGAGAGGAAAGAGATGCTGTCCCACCTGCGGTGTTGTATTACGCTTTGCAGTAACACTGATATGCTCTGACAGTGCCACGCCGTAGCAACATTTGAGCTCCTCTCTGCAGCTTAAAAAGTAAAACAAATAGCAACATTACTTAAACACTGCTGGCATCACGTATTTACACCTTAAATAGAAATGTCACCTTTTCTGAAGTAATCAAAATAGATCTTTGCAAAAAATTTAGAAGGTGGGATTTTACAAAATAAATGGGAAGGTAAAAAAGCTGGGAGATGTCTCAGTACCTTTTACGGCCATCTGAGCCCACGGAAGTATTTGGCTTTAATTTTCCTGAAAGGGGTGGCGTCGCGCCGGGTTCTCTGCCTCCGCCCTGAGACCCCCGAAAGACGCGAGGCCGCTCTGCGCAGATTAGAACGCGGGGTTACCTGCGTGCAGTGAGTTTTCTAGAAAGCGGCGAACGGAAGCGATCCCTTCTGGCCCGATGCTGCCCACGTTTTGCGCTAAATGGAGCAAGGAGAAGGCAGCGAGTTTACGAAAGGGCTGAGAAGGTTAGTGGCATTTACTGTAGGCTGCTCCGATACCCCGTTCTGCACCTCAGCAGAGTCAAAAGCACAAGACAGTCACAACCGTGTAAAAGTCACCAGCCAGGCTTGGGCAAGGAGCTGCTGAGAGGAAGACTTCCCCTTTGCATGGATAAATCTCACTCCCTGAAGTCCGTCTATCGCTGTCTCGGCACCTGTTTTATCTACTAGTAACCTCTACTACACGTTTACCTAACGCTGTTCCCCTGGTGGGTTTGCACATGGTGGCTGTGTCCCTTCAGCACAAATAGAAGGCAATTCCACAAACTTCCACAGCCCGGTCTCTTGGGAAGTATTAAAACGCTTCCTCAGTCCAAGGAGAGGTTTAGGTGATCCTGTCGGTACCTCCGGAGGCAGGGCAGACGCAGTTTGGGCAGTGAGGAGTTACTTTAAACTTTGGCAAAGAAAAAAAGAAGATACACAGATAGCTAGCTATCGAGTTCTTGTGTGTTCCAAACTCTTCCAAGCGCACTTAATTCATCTTTTGCTCTCGCTTTGAGTTCCTGGAGGAGGTATTTTCACACTTGCTGGTTTGCAATATTCTTTTGGCGCCTTATATGACAAATGAAGACTTGTGTCTGAAGTCACCCTGCAACGAAACAGTTCGGGATGTGTGAAGGGTCCTAGTGGCTTTGCAGGCAACTCCCTGTTCTGCTGCCCCCAACTGCAACGTGATAGCTTCCAGTTTAGGTCACCCCCCTTCCAGCTGGGAAGGAGGAGGCCCCAGTGACACTGGGCAGGTGCTCCTCCCGCTGTCTTCCAGCTGGGAAGGAGAAGGAGGCCCCAGTGACACTGGGCAGGTGCTCCTCCCGCTGTCCTGGCGTACCGAGGCGCGGCTGGGGCCTTTCTCATTCCACCTCCAGTATCTCTGCTAATAGGGAGAGGCTTTTTCTGCTCTTAAGCTTAGTGATCTATTCAAATCCCAAAATGCAAATTCTCTTGTAAAAGCATCGTGGCCTGCCCACTTAATCCAATGAAACTCATCCTAAGGGGGTCAAGCCGTAAGATAACGGAGACAGAGCAGAGCTGCGTTTGATAGCTCTTGGCATCAGTCACTTAAGGCAACTTAAACTGTTCATCGTTTCTACGGAAATGACTCAGCCTTCACCCTTCTGTTTTCGCTCTGTTCCACATCCTTGCCTCTGAGTGGTGCCCACTCCAAGAAAGTCTGTAGGCCCTAAAAAATCTAGGAGTCCTCTGCCCACCCTCTTCCTCTCCTGAACAGAGTGATGTTAAATGCAAATCGTTTGTTACCTCGTCATCTGTCCGGATATAGTTAACGCCATCAGGTTTTGCTGGAGTCTTGTAGCTGAAATAAAAGAAGAGATCTCATTTCTGGGACAAGGCAGCTGCAGGATCTTGGAGAGGAGGTGCTGAGAAAGATGAGGAAGAGCCGAACGAAAAGAAAACAGAAAGAAACCCAGCTCGTTGCTCAAATGATAGATCTGGGCTTATTCCATCGTTTGTCACGGCTGGGCTATTTTCTAAATTCCCCTTCAGCGCAGGGTGCAGAGGTTGCTGCCTCTTTCCACCAGACTAACTGCAAAGAGATTCACTCATCCTTTTCTGGGCTCTCCTGCTCTGGTCCCTGCGTGCTCCGTGCGCCTCCTGCACTGTTTCCTGTAGCAATTATAAAGTTCGGTTTAAACCTTCGCTGTCGGGTGTCTTCAGCGTTTTCCTTTGTTATAACGGAGCGCCACTCGTCTGCAATCCCATGGGAATTCAGAATGTATGTGCGACTGTCAAGCCCAGTGTATGCCAACCCTCAGCTGCATTTAAATTGGATATTTGGAGCTTCTACTGAAAAACAAACCAGACCAAACAAAAAAAAAAAGGACAGGGCTGCTACCAAAAAGCCACATTTAACATGGAACAAGTCTGTCTGGTGAGAATCTTGGGTTTCCATATATTATCTCTCCTCCAGATTCCGTAAGGATATCAAGTCCTGTTTCTGATGCTAATGCTGTTGATTTTAAAGTTTTAACGCCCATTCTAAAATCTCAAATTCAGGTTCTCACAACTAGTGAGATTTCCTGCAAAGAGCCTACTCTTCTGCATATATTTTCTAGGCATGTCTTGATGCTTTAAACTAATTGCGCAGCGAGCTCCGTTCATTCAATTCTAGATCTTGTTATGCCAACGGCACGTAACCTTTTGGACATAGACCGGTAGGTGTTTAATTGTGCTTGTCCCCAACTTCCTGTGCAAAGTGTGAGGATACTAGAGCGCAGCTATCCGTCTGGTCTTGGTGGCAAGCACAAGAGGAGCCATACCAAAATTCTCCCGTAGGCAAATAAACCTTCGGCATGGTGCCAGGTTTGCAGCGGGGAACTGGATACTTCAGGAACTGTGTTGGCCTCTAGTCTTTGGTAGGAAGAAATACATTCGAGTCGGGCACTAAAATACATTCTAGCCACCACTTCTGGCAGCTTTCTGACTGCTTCATGGCCGCGGGCGTGGGGACTCGTCTAAGACCACTTTGAATCCCAGCTTACCTCTCCCCGCTCTCTTTGCTGTTTGCAAAGTAACCCCTTCTGTAGGCGCAGCAGATCCCGAGAGTGATGAGCACCAGAACTGCCAGGACCACCAGGACTCCACCAATTATCCCGCCGATGTTGAGGTCATCTGGCAAAGAGAGAAGCCATCATCCAGGATTTCTTTAAAGCAGTAGCAATATTCCTGCTTTACATACACGAAAATGACATCCCTCAAATATTTTAAGCAAACCCCAATAATTCCTAGGGAACTAGAGAGTCCTTGATTCCAAGGCTAAAATTGTTCATGAATCTGAACAGTGTTTCAATGCTTCCCTGAATGTTTAGATCTTTTTTTCCTTCTTCCTGTGTTTGGGGCTATGAGAAAGCAGGAAAGACTTAATGCTCTAGGATGTCCCCCTTTCCCTTCGGTGACGACAGTTTATTTCTGGCGATTTAGCAATCAGCATTGACAAAACCTATGCAGTGCCACTCACAGACTTCCATCTCCTGCTCCTCACACTTGGCAAAGCCAGCGTCATTGGTCGCTATGCAGGAGTAACGGCCTGTGTCGCCCTTGTGCACGGCGTGGAAAACCTGGTGAGGAGAAAAAGGGGGGGAGTGGGACATGAGAGACACAGTACTGGGAGGGTATAAGCATCTATAACCCACTCCCTGTTGCCCAGGCTCCACGGTGGGCTGTGAGACATCTTCCTTCTAAAAAGGCAAGCGGTCTCAGCAGCCACCAAAGCCAAACAGCTAGGGTAATGTCTTCTTCCACCGTTAATCTTCCCTTTCCCACGTCACCCAGATCCTACAACACCTAACCTTCCTCGAAAGCCAGGCAATGGCTCTTTTTCTTTTCCAAGCGACCTTAAAAATAACCTGCCTGGCGAAACAAATCTTGATTAAGTCTGTAAGGGCGTTACCAGAGTGCCTGTGGTGGGGTTCAAGGTGTAGGAGGAATTCTGGAATTTGGCGTTTGATTTCGTGTCTGGCGATAAGGGTTCGCTGTTGCGGTACCAGCTGTACGTGGACTTGGGGTAACCTTCGTTCTCGTGGCAGTGGAGAGAGGCTGTCTTGCCGACGGGTACGGCTTTAGGCACAGTGCATCTGGGAGTCATGGGTTTCACTGTGGAAAGACACAAACCACGTGAAAGGCACTGCCGGGTAGAACGAAATCGTTCCTGACAGCGGGTCTACGGCGGCCGCGCTACAAAGCTATCAAACATTCTGCTATTCCCAACTGGGTTTACACAACAACTTCCGGAGCCTGTTGAGCGCCGCTGTTTGACTCTGAGAGCCAACTCTTCTGCTAGCTAGGCTTAAGGTAATACCTTGGACTGTGAGCTGGATATTAATCTCGTCGATGGTTTTAGTATCGGAAGGTGCTGCCACTTCACAGCGGTACGTGGCTGTGTCCATCCGGGTGGTGTTTTTAATCACCAGCGACGTCCGGCTCAGAATTTCTGCGCGAGTCGCAAAGTCTCCTGATGATACGGAGGAAAGAGAGTGTCAAAATTAAGGGTGGTCACACAGGGACTGATTTTCAGGCGCCTGAATTATGTGGTTGATCTTGGACTCTTTCTGGAGTCAAGAGAACCCCCTAAAAGGAACTTGGTGCTGGAAAGCTAAGAGCCTCCCTTTCACCAGTGACCACAAAGGAAACCCATGCAGCTAACCGTGTAAGAGGATGGACTGGAAAGCACCACCCCACAACTCAAAAAGTGTGGCAAAACTGGACTTCCAAGACAGCCTCGGGTCTCGTCTCCTTCGGCAGATCCATTTGGATGTGGCTGTTGGTCCCAGCTGGAGTAATTCCAGATGTTCCCTATGGACAGCGCTGTGTTCGAGTTTCACCATCAAGCCAGAAAATTTGCTTCTAGTCACAGGACCAACAGGTGCCGGGGAAGGGAAGCTGCAGCATCTGCTTCCCTACCCAAGGCTCCTACGTAGGACCTCGCTCCAGCTCCCCGGGGCTCCCGCCTGTGAACCGTCACTAAGGAGGACAGAGAGCAGAGACCCTCCTGCTCTCTCTATCTTGCACTTCGACTGCTGAACTCTTAGTTCCAGAAGAAAGCAGCAAGAGAGCCAGAGGTCCTGCCTTTCACAGACCTGCTGGGTCTCAGCTGTATGGTTTCTGAGGCAAGTTTGGAAGTCTAAGAGCAATATATCTCCATACCCTGCATTTTATTGTCAAAAAACACGTAAGAGGTCTCTCCATCTCGGATTTTCTTCCACTCAATTCTGGGATCTGGGGTTACGGTGGATTTAATGATGCAGGACAGCTCAACACCTAGCAGGAGAAATAAAGGAAATAGAGATTAATAGGAAGCAGTGTTTTTGCTCTGCTTTAAAAGTCTTGCTCAGTGTTTTATTAGGAGATGCTGCCCACAAAGCCGAGCCTTCGCTTTCATCTGCCTCACAAACAGAAACACTGCTGGGTTCCAGGAGCTATTGGGGAAGATGGATTTTGGCCAGCAAAAATAACAGCTGAACAGATATCAACTATGGAGAGAAATGAACACGCTGTTCTCTACATGCTCTAAATTATGGCAAACAAGACCTTATGACAGGGTGAGCCCACAGCACTGTCTTGCTCCTAATCAGAGCCTACGCTGTGAGTCAGGGATGCAGAATCTCCCCGGGTGGTGTCTGGTAATGTGCTGAGGACCGTGGTGCCTGGGGATGCATTCAGCAAACCCACTCCCCTTTGAAGCAGAGGTTGTCCTCTCCGTCTCCCCTGCAGCAGGCGGCATGGCAGCAGGGTCGAGAGGTGGCTTACCCGGTATCGCATCGCATGTCTGCGGTAGGGCCAAGGCAAAATACAAATTTCCCGACCTCGTTTTCAGTGTATTAATTGCAAGGTGGCTGCCTTTCCTCCTTTTGGGAACCAGTTCAAAAAAGCACTTAGGCAGATGCTGTGCAATGCCAATGGCTTGCAGGGGACTTCAATAAACCATTTCAAGCAAGTGCTTAGCTAAACAGGGAGAGCTACAGACATCTTCCAGAGTGCTCTTCTGAATCTCAGGCTCCGGGTAGTACCGCCTCCCCCAAGAAACCAGATACCATGAGCAATAAGTCACATTTTTCCTCAATTGTTTGGGGCAGCCATCACCCCCCGTAACACTCACTCTGGAATTCCTGCACCACGGGCTTGGTGTTGCTGGATGTCAGTTCCACAGCCAAGAGTCTGCAGCCTGGAAAAACAAACAGGAGATAATAAGAAATAGCAGAGCTCATAAGTCACCCAGCTAGAAGCGCGTCGCCTGCTGAGAAATCTTCTCAGCCAGCCACAAGCACTCACTTCCCCAGATAAAGCCTATTCCTGGCTAGTAATGCCGGTCCAGCAGGCCTTAAGTTTATTTAGGAGCTGTGGTGTAAATACAGGAAAATATCATTGTTAGAAGTAGCAATTAAAGAGGAGGATTAACATAATGGCACAAAACCAGCGCCAGCACAAGCCATTTCCCTGTTCCTTATGCTTACTTAGATGGCAAAGGAACTCTGGCAATGCAAGAGTGAATGTAGTATTTTCCAAATTAATGCGATGATCAGGAAAAGGCAGGAAGCAAACCAACCTACGGAGTTCCGGGCAGTTCCTCGAGGAGAAAGTGTGCCAGGCCTCCACCACTCGCTCATTCCATCTTCAAGTTATTTTACGACTCACTGTGGTAACATCACATGTGCTGCAGTAAATCACAGAAGGACCGCGATTCCGGATAAGACAGAGGAGTTCAGCTCTTTGGGCAGAGCGCCAGCCCCACTGACACCGGGACAAAAGCTTGGTGCTGCAGGGCATCCTTATACCACAAGCTATTTCCCTTTACTGCACTCCTTGCTCTGAGCACAAAAATGTTTCCAATTAATACAGTCACTTTCCCTCTTCCGTGTATTATTTTCTTTCGAAAAATCTGCCTTCCGTGCCTTTTCCGCTGTGCATTTCGTCGGAGCAGGTCCCGACGTGCTGCTGGATACCCCCACTCACCAAGTCTCTCGAAGGAGAAGGAGACGAGCGGGCGCGTTCCGGCGCGGCACGGCAGGAAGAAAGCGAACCGGACAGCAGAGGCAAGCCATGCCTTTGCCACACAGGGTATTTGGGATGTGCTGGTTGTTGCAAAGCCCATCGCCCCTCAGTCAGACAGAACAGAACAGGGGTATGCCACGTGTGACTTTGCGGATACGAACCCAGCGAGAAGCTTCGTGATATCTAGGAGACGATGCCCAGACTTCACTGGGCACTCCATCAAACAGCAAGATGATGGAAACCAGTGAAAAAGAGGGATCGAAAGGTTAAGACTCGGAGTAAACAAGTCACAACAAACCCGAATGGAAAGCAGGAAAGGCAGCTGAAGGGAGATGTGGAAGAAGAAAGGATCTTCAGCATCATGACAGACAGGTGGACACCCCTGTGTGCTGGCCTCCGGGGTGGAATGCTTTTGGACAGAGAGAATCTGACAGTGCAGGGGCAAAATTCCTCTGGTGAAGTGGATCAGACAGCCTAACAGAGCAAGGCAGCAGGCTGAGACATAGCCGAGAGCTGCAAAGTCCCTCCCACCCACAGCTCAAGGGCCTCGAACACCTAAACTCCTTCCAGCAGTTCTGAGACGTCCCCTGCCAATTCCCATCCCTCACTGTTTGTTAAAAGCTGACGCTTTCCTCCGTGCCTTGGGTCTCAGTGCTAATACCCCCAGGCCGCTGGGGAGAGCTGAAGTTTGGCAAAGTTTAGAAGCTGCCTAATAATTGTTAACTCACATAAAAGCCACTGGCTGATGCAAACTAATAGTTGGCCCAGCCAGAACTGCAGTTAGCAGGACCTTTCCACCCTACCCCCTTCTGCACTTGGCGACATTCATGCAGCGCTTGGGAGAAAGCCAATATTGAACTGAGATGACAGCGTTCTGGACGGCAACGTAGCAATGTGGGAGAAGTCCTGTGTAGCAGAGCTGAAGTGAGTAACAGGGCAGTGCAGCGAGCGCTTGGCTTTCCGACCGCCTGTGCTTTCCTTCGGAGAGCCGTTCTCGGAGCCGGTTCTCAGCAGGTGGAAGCTGGTGCTCCAGTCTCGCTTTGCTTCAGGCAGGAGCAACCCCGAGTCCTTTGTTCAAGTCTGCTCTGAAGCAGAGTCCATTTCCATCAGGCCTGGTGCTTCCAGACCTACCCCTTGACGAGAGATAATTAGGCCGCAAGATGCCAACACTTTCCTTTCCCTCTGTTTATCCTGTGATCCTCTCAGGTGTTGGGGCTGGGGCTGTGATCCTTGCTTTGCTCCCTCACGAGCTCACACAGGTTTCACTGATCCTAGCAAAACCTCAGATCATTACAAGTAGCTTCTCACCAGAAGGCAAGAAACAATCTTGGAAAAACTTTTTTGAAATCCTGGGACACGATTTCAGCAGCAGAGTGGGGCATTTCACGCCAACGAGGTACCTGATTGCTTCTGCTGTGAGATTCCCGCTCCGGGAATCAGCTGAGCACTCAGCTTCACCGTGAGGATCCCGTTGGCCTCCTGCTTGGGACAGGTGGCTCTGATCATGCATTGGGCTCAGTTTTCAAAAGGGGGAAGTTGTAGGTCCTGCCTTCTTCAGAGACAGCTCCCCCTTCGCTGGGGGGCTGTGCCACGAGAGACCCTTCTACAACTGGCAACTTCCTTCCGAGACCTGAAGCAGATGACTATGGGGAGTCGTGCCCGAAGAGCCACAGAAGGCAGCTGGCACCGCATCCGTCTGGTCTGTACTATCCTATAAATCATCCTTTTGGAACAGCCAAGGATGGGGAGGGAAAGGGTTCCTTGTTTCTGAGAGGAAACCCAATGTGCCAGTTTGTTTTTTGGGATATGTTCTTGCTTACACAAGACCTTTCCTACAGAAAATTTGTGTCCCGTCAAGTAGGCAGCGTATAACAGTCCTACGAGGTGCATCTCCTCTAGCTGCACCACCAGTTGAGCTGAAGGTGGGGGTAGCAACACCACAGTGTTGTGTTACTCTGAAGGAGTTACGACTCTAGAATTATTCACCCCAAGACAGCGGGACTCCATCAAACTCCGGCCCGGTCTCATCTCTCGGAAATTGTTCACAGCAGGCTTTTTCCCACCCACTAAACACAAGAGATTTAGGTCTATCCCTCGGGCACAAAGCTGGATGACAACAAATTTTAGACAGAAGCTGAGTCCTTGGAGACTGTGCGAGAGGCTCCGACATTATTACATGTATTGACTGTGGGCAGAGATCAATGTGGCTGCATAAATCACTGCTACGACAGATTTATTCGGTGTGTGGCACAAGAATACTTCAAGTGTCATGTTCTAAATAGCAAGAAGGCTACAGCTATGCAGGGAGCGAAACAAAACCCCCGGGGGATCACGCAGGTTGTAAAGCAGGAGCAGAGCACCTTTGCAGACCTTTGTAGCGTTACTTTGGGGTATCCCTTCACCCATCCCCATGGGACCGGAGGAAGCTGCACCAAGACGGTGCTTCCCAGCCTAACTGCCACCTTTTAAAAAGATGTTCCTTTAGGCCTCTTTCAGCCCGGTGCAAATAAGCAGCAAAGGTTTTGTCTTATGTACGACTCGCTTCAAAGGCCACAGCGCCCCAGATGTGGAGAAGAGCCAGGCACAGACATCCATTCCTTGGAACGAGGTGATCTTTACGGTCCCTTCCAACCTAAACCATTCCATGATTCCTTTCCGGAGCGACATGCCACACCAGACGCACCTACCAGATCTGTATGTGCTCCAGCCCCGCGTACCTACCAGATCTGTATGTGCTACAGACTCAGCCAGGCATATGGTTGAATCCCAAATGCCACCACTTCTCCAAAATAGAATCCAGGACGAGGCTGTGAAGCCTACAGCATAATCTGATGGCACTTCTTCCAGCTACAGAGATCCAGCCCATGCTTGTTACTGTGACTCATGTTATCTGAATCACTTTTAAATGCTACACTGAAGCTACAGTTTCAGGAAAAAAAAAAACCAACCTAGCAGCTTCAGAGACAATTAGACTGTTAATCCATCTCTGTACTGGGCTTAAAGTAAAGCCTGACCTTCCATCTCCCTCCAGCCCAATCCCTTACCCACTTAAAAATTCTGGGCAGACCCTGAGGAGGTAAAGTATTCCTACAGGTACAGGCAAGGTAAAAGGGCTGAGCAGGAAACAGTGCAAAGAGGTTGCTGCCAACTGCCTGTGCTGCAGGGTCGTTCCACGCCGCTGTGCCGATACTGCGGTTATCCGATACGGTAATTTTAGTTAATGCGCTGTCAGGCACAAGCGCTACAAAACCATGCAGCTGTATTTAAACACCTGCCCGCTAAAGCAACGAAAATACGCCTCACTTGAGGTGTCCATCATCACTAAGCCGTTGCTAGATTTGCAATTCAAATTGCATCTAAGCCACGAGGGAAGAATGCTGGCATAAACCACAAGTCTTGTTGAGCATCTCCCCTTTCTGGACGGTTACTCTCTACAGCAGCAGTGCTACTCAGCGAGTAACCCCTCCTTAGGTGTTAGCGACGTGCTAGCTGAGCCCCTGCACATCAGCAGGTTGGTGACTGCCAGCTGGGAGAGCAGCCATCCTCGGTGCCGTGAGCTGGAGCGAAAGCAGCCGTGACAAGGACGGGGAGGATGGGAGCAGCGGGCAGCGTTGTCCTGAAGGCCAGCCCAGCTGATCCGGGCGCCGTCCCTGCCTCAGGTGCGCACGGCGGGGAGGAAGCCAACTGCTAAATGTGTGAGAACCCTCCAGAGAAGAGCAGTGCTAGCTAAGACAAGGAAGAGGGAGCACAGGTGTCTGCCCTCATCTTATTTTGAGGAAATCACCATAATCCCTAACTTGCAGAAACATCCGCACCTTGAAATATCCATCCTTTTGCCTCTCCGTGCCTCCGGCTCTTTATCCTCCCTCCTCTCTATCCCTGGTTTGATTCCACAAGGCAACTTGTGCCAGTGTAGACAAGGTGGTGTAGGATAGGCAACACGGCATGGGGGAGGAATGACATGCCAAAAAAATGCCCAACCCGCTCTGGTTCTGTGGGTTTTGGGGTTTTTTTTTAAGCCAACTGTCCCTTGGCTGGGGTTTTTGGAATAGCTTAAGGGCTTAAATGCACTTGTGGTATACAAAGACTGGATCTCTAAAGGGTGCATAAATGTGTGGGCAGGGGATGGATGGCATACCTCATTCTTACTGAATTTCTGTGGGAATGAGGCATCCTGTTGGTGCTCAGTGACATTTTTAGGTGCCTCACTCCCTTT